TTTTTTAACTCCAGCGATCCTTTTCCCAGTTATTTGGGACTTTCTGTCTTTCTACTGTCCACCAGCTTGATGTTATTTCTCCCAGAAGGGTCACTGTCTTGCATGAATGGGAGGGTCTGCTATTAAGGGGGTCATGATCTGATCCCAGTCACATTCCAGTCTCCTTTTCAGATTCCCATGGCTCTCCAACTACCCCCACACCTGCCACTCCTGTCCATCAGCTCCCCGAGTCTTGGGCAAATCACATAGTGCTACTCTCTGCTTTGGCTCAGGGTATGGTTGCCACTTCAGCTCTGCAAGTTCTGCCCTCTGTGTCTACTTGGTAAAATCCCTCTGTTTTCTAGGCCCTACCCAAAGTCACTTCTTCCGGAAAGTCTTCCTTGGGATTTCTCATATCCCAAACCAATTTTCCTCCCTTGTTCCCCCACTTAGATTCCTTGACCTCTGAGTTACAGCCATTGTCCTGACTGCACTGGGGGCCCTGCATCTTCACATTCACGTGACCAGCATGGGACTGGCTGTGGAGTGTAAGTCCCTGATACCTATGCCAGTGGGTTGGTGATAGGAATAGAAAATTAGATGACATCCAAGGTTTCATTCAGCTGATGCTGATGAAGCCTTCCCCATGTGCCATGAGCCTCCCCCATGTGGGGCTCAGAGAAGTAAAAAAATCCCCAGGGGCAAGTGGAGGAGACAGGCCTGTTACCAGGTGCTTTCTGTGCAGTGGGAATTTTAATGATGAACTAAAAAACCACATGTCACAGATTTTGGGGGGTCAGAAGGGAAGGGGATGCTTCCTCCACCAGTTTGGAGATCTTTCCATGTGGAATTTTGCAGTATGGATATTTTTGGTTTTAACCGACAGCCAAAGAGCTCTCCAGGGGGTCATCCAAACACGTTTCCTTGACATGAAGGGGGCTCATTTGATGTCATCCTTGGCCTCTCTTGATCCCTTTACTCCCATCCTGGAAGGTACAGGGACCTTTCTGATGACAGTTTGGGACACCTATAGGGACATGCTCAGCAGAGCACCACACTTCTTTCTTTTGGGTCTTCCTGCTTCTAGGAAGCACGTCCACTGACTGACAGGCAAGTCTGTGAACTCTAGGGTTAGTGAGCAGGAACACTCAGCCCACACAAGTAGACCACAGCCTTCCATGTGACCTGTATCAGCAATGAAGTTCAGAACCTGGCAGGGGAGGAGGGGGACTGCTTAGCTGGGGCTTCCTCAAGACCCTGAAACCTCTCATGCTCCTAGGCTGCCTTTTGAGTTGACCACAAATACTGCCAACCAGAGGGAAGTTTGGGGGGGTGGCGTGTGAGGAGGGTAGCATTAGAGCAGGCCCAGTCAGGTGAGGAAGCTGGCAGGTGAAGGCTCCCACACCAGGTGCTGGCTCCGTGCCCTGCATACCCAGCACCCAAGACCCTGCAGTGGCAGTCCACCCTGCTCTCTCCTTTGGCAAAGGGAGAAAATACACAGCCAAGTTCTGCCCTGGACGATACTCACACTCGACAGGATCTCAATGCGCCCAGGTGGTCCCCGGGGCCCAGGGGGTCCCACAGTGCTGGCTCCATCCATCCCTCTTTCACCCTGGTTACAGTGGAGAGAAGTGGGGGGATAATTCATAGTGCATGGATAATGCTTCCAGAACCAGGCCGGAAAGTCCTTCCACCGCAGATCTGTGACCTTACCTTGGGTCCCTGGTCTCCTTTTTCCCCTTTGGGACCCTGAGAAAATAAACAGGCAGATAAATGAACATTTTTTGGTTTTCTTTTTTTAACATTTATTTTTTAGCTGTAGATGGACACAATACCTTTCTTTTATTTGCTTTTATGTGGTGCTGAGGATTGAACCCAGAGCCTTGCATGTTCCAGGCGAGCGCTCTACCGCTGAGCCACAACCCCAGCCCCATTCTTAGGTTTTCTTGGATTCGCTCTGCCCGCTCCCCTGTCCTCGCTCTTGCTGTCTACCCTCAGCTCTCCCCCTGGTTTCACTCCAGGCAATGGGAACAAGGGATGAGGGACAGATGCCCCTCCCAGAGCGAGAAAAAAAATTCCTCAGAGAAGAAAACTCAGAGGCCTGCTCCCGGCACCAGGTGAGTGTCCCTTCGACTCCAGTCTTAGGGCCCCCTGCATCTGGGGGAGGGGGGAAGTCTGCATGTTCAGCTACAGGAAGGGCCATGCTGTTCGCTCCTGGGTGCTCAGTTCAGGGTCCCACGGGACAAAGCTAATGAAATCCAGGGGAGAGCATCACAGTGGACATGGACAGTGCCTCCCAGGAATGGACAGAGCAGAGAGGCTGCCTATCAGGAGGGCAGGGTTTTGAAATGGGCCAAACTGTGAAGCTTCCGTATGGTAGCGGGAGGGAGGCAGGGGGTCGGGGAGAGATGAAGAGACAAAAGACAATTTTCAAATTTTCACAAATGATAGTTTGTGCAAAACTGCTTCTCCCTGGAGAAACTGTTTGCACCTTCCAAGATGCAAAGCCTCCCCACTGCACAGGTGGGGGCTGAAGGCACTGGGCAGGTGAATTATTGAGGGGTGGAGCCAGGATGTGCACCTCCCTCCCCAGCCTCCACACTCCAGTGCCACAGCAAGACTGTCCTCATAAGAAGGTTTCAAAAGTCAACCTACACTTGAAGCAGTTGGCCCGGAGATTCTGGGTTCACTCAACAGCCTGATATTTCCTGAGCCTTCGGTATCCTAGGGAAGGAGGAAGAATGAGATTTTCAGATCTGATTCTGGAGCACCCTCTCATGCCAGTGTGGTTTGGGGTGCTGGTAACTCAGAGGCAAACTGGACTAGCATTCAGGGGACTGGTCCTTCCAGTGGCCCCTAATGCACATGATTCTTTAACCACTGAAAGGGGGGAAAGTACCTCAAATCCAAGTTCTGTTGTACATCCAGGGCCTGGGGGTCCAGGAGGGCCAGGAGGCCCTGGAGGTCCCCTGACTCCAGGGGTGCCCACTTGTCCATTTTTCCCAGGTGGTCCTGGTAAGCCTCTGCTGCCGGGGTCACCCTGTAAGGAAGAGGACAGGCTGATGACAGGCCCCCAGATTCTCTCATGGAAGGACTTAAACATCTGAGTCAGAAAACCACCCTCTGAAGTCAACTAGGCAGATGTGTTCTCTGACCTGTGCTCAAAAGCACAGGAACAGCTCTCTTGCTAACTGACATTTCACTTGGAGAGAAGCGGATGGGTCCGCAGGAATGAGTTTGTAAGGTGTGTGTGTGTGTGGGGGAGGAAACAGCTCCCCACCAGCAGGTATCAGCTCCCCACCAGCCTCCCTGAGCAGCTCCTTGAGGTGTGCTTGTCTGTGCTTCGTGACATTTCTGCATGGGATGCTCCAGCCCAAACCCCAACAATAGCAAACCCCAGGAAAGGGGAAGTGGGAAGAGACACTTGCTTTCTCTTACCTTCTCACCAACGGAGCCGTTAGGCCCTCTTGCACCCTGAAAAACACAAAGGCCCATGAGCATATATTTCATTAGGTATGTTCAGAAGAAAGGACAGAATTGTGTCCCCATCAGTAACAGGACACTGCAAGGGGACCCCTTCTGTCTTGGTTTGGCTGGTGTTTCCAAGACGAGCATATGGCCCAAGATGGCAGTCTGCTAGGTCAGTCCTGTCCAAAGCTTGTGAAGCCCATTCTTCACCCGTTAGCTTATTCCCTGCCTTGAGAATAAACCAGAAGTCAGGAGAGATCACAGAATGGGTGCTTGGCATTCGAGACAGTGTCCTTCCCCACCCCTTCCGTGAGAGAGGTAAAGGGGTACTTCCCCTACTCTAAACCAAGGGAGGGCTTCAAGAACTTGACATGCAGCCCCCAGACTTTGAGAGATTTGGGGATGATAACTGACCGTCTCTGAAAATATGAGCAGAGAGTACCCTCCACCAAGAATGATCAAGGGGGAAACGTAGGATGCGTTCTCAAACTTCTCATATAATTAAAAATTAATTTAAAAGACCACCTGGGGCGGGATGGCTCTGTCCTCCACCTCACAGCCGCACAGTACTCCCACAACATCCGTGACTCTGCCAGGATGAAGTTAGGAAACCAGGGAGCTAAATAATTTTCAGGTTCTTTGCAGCTGTGACATTTTGGGACTGTCATTGAGGATAACCCTAAACAAAGTTCTGGGGGTTCATGACAGAGGTGAGGCCATAGTTATGTTCTGCAGAAAGACCTGCACACATGACAACCAACACAATCTCCCTGTGTTCTTCCCAGGGCAGGAAGAGTGATAGGAGAGTGACCCTCAATTGCTGCACTCTTTAGGTGTACCTTGGATGCCTCCTTGACCCAGAGGCCAGGGGGGACATCTGCCTATCTGGAGAGGTGGGAGGAGGAGGGCTGGGGGAAGGAAGACCTGTAGCTGGGACCTGTCACCTCCCTTTGGCCAGCTCTGCCAGGGAGAAACTGAACATGACCTTCCATCTGGGGTGGAAACATGACTCAAATAATTGAGTTCCTATTTTGCTGCCCAATCTAGAGGCTATGGTTTCTCTGTCTGCTTCTCTTGGGTGCAACTAGCGGGGCCATCGCCTACTGCCTACTACCATCTGATCTTGAGCCGAGTGCAGACATTGTGCATTTTCCCAGCAACAAATGAAACTGCCACCAGGGCTACTGCGAAACGGAGGCTCAAGTGGCTCCATCTCTGAACACCTTACAGCTGTGCTGCCAGTTGACCCGGTTCAAAATCATGTTCACAAGTGAAGGACTGTCTTTTCAATTGCTTTTCCTATTTCTTTCAAGTCAAGAATGCATCTTATAGCAATTTCAAATAAAGTTCTTGAAGACATATGAGCCCCTGCTATCTGCTTCAGAAATGATCTTATTCTGCTTGTACAAGGTGAAGAGATAGCACTTGGATCCATTCTACTGGCTCAAAGATACAAGGACAAACATGAGATAGAAGGGGATAGAAGAATCCACTTATTGGAATTTTTGTGAACGGGTAGGGTGGAAAAGTGGAGCTTTGATGAAAAGGCTCAGGAAAGACTCCATACTTCCAAAGTGGAGATGGTGGAGGTTTACTTCACTCCTTAGTGAGAGTGTTTTTGTGTGGTGAGGACACACACTGTCCCAGAATTCCAACTAGCAGAGCCGCAAATGTGGTTGGGAGGGATGAAAGGTGGAGAGATGGGCTCGAGAATGGCAACGCTGTAAAACCATCAGATCAGAAAGTCTGTCTCATCTGGATGAACTGGAGGGGGAAAGACACTGCTAGACCTCAGCCTACGGGAACTTCAAAAGAACCCAACAGATCCGAGGTGATGGTATCTGGGATGCCCTGTGGGCGTCTGCTGGCTCTGCTCATGGTGTTTGCAATGCTGACCACTGCACTGTGCGTCCACTGCTGTTGCCTGTGGTCTGTTTGGTTTTATGGAGCCCTGTTATCAGCCAGATGATGTGCCAAACACATCTGATGACGAAATAAGATAGAAAGCAGGAAATCAGGCAAACGCTGGGATGTTTCATTTAACATTTAAACTTGTTGTTACAAGCTCTCCTCATTACTGGATCCTAGGCAAGAGTAACTCCCTGCTCAGATCCCTCCCTCCTTCTTTTCTTTTCTTCGCCCCCCCCCCGCCCCCGCCCAGTACTGGTGGAGATCAAACCCAGAGCCTTAGAGAAGGTGGTAAAGATTTAATTGCATTTCCCTGACATCTACAGAAAAGACAGAAGCTGATTGTACAATGTGATTTTGGGCCCAGTGAAATTACTCAATGTCAATTCTTGGAGCTCAAGGTTCCTCAGCAATTCTGGGTACCCAGGAATATTCCAGAGCCTTGACACTTTCCTGCCCAACTTCCTAGTACCTTCTGAGACTGAGGAATAACCTGAATGACAAAGATTCTGAAAGAAGCAAAAATTGACCACCGTGAATCCTAGAAGAGCTGGAGGGCAGAATCAGCCGTGTACAAAGCAGAGAGATGGTTTTCAGAGGGCCACGATCTCCAGCAAGTTCTGTGGCACCCTTTCCAGAGCGTTCTGCAGCTGAGGAAGCAGGTCACTCCCTCCCACCCCTTCTCGAGCTACAGATCTTAGAGTTAGCTCCTCATCTTAATTGGGGGAAAATATGTTAAGAAATACTGTATCATTGAATTATTCCATGACATTCCATTCTATCATAGAACATTTGATACATTCTTTGCGTGTATGTGTGTAATATAAACTTCTGTGACATTTTCCTTATTGGAATATTTAAAGATAGATTCAAATACATTAATATTAATGAAAAATACCTGGTAGGAGAATTTAGAAAATATTTATAATATACATGAGTTGGCCCTGAATATCTATTTTTTTCATTTTAAATATTATTTTTTTAAAAAAGTAACATAAAATGATAAGGATTGCTGTGTTCTTCACATATCCTGAGTATCTTAAATTAAAAATATGAAGCACTTGCCAAATCTGCATGTCACCCTAGTGCAGGGCCATGTTAATCTCTGAATGGCACTAATTTTTGATATATGTGCTGCTGAATTGAGCACTATTTAATACATTCTTAACAACCATCCAGGCTTCGATGACAACATCCATATCTGATAACAATGACTGTATATTTTTTAAATTCCCAGCTAAATAAACTGAACCTTATTCTTTGGGGGGGAACCCCACTTTGGGTGACTACCTAGACTGGTCTCTGTGGCCTGCTAATGACACGGTGGCTGAGGAGAGTCTTTCCTACAAGTGGATCCATCCAACTGTGTGACAGGTGCTGGGGCAGGGAGTGAGGTGTGCAAGCTGAAGAGCAGACACTCTGGTGAGGAGCCAAGGATTGAATGTGTCATTGTTTGGTACGTTCCTTAACATCCCTGAGATGGCTCATTTCCTTCAGCCCATTTTTGCTCTTTTACATTCAGTCTGTGTTCCTTCAGAAAGCATCATAAACACATAGTGCAAAAAATCAGGACGTAGAACAAATTTCAGGAACAAATCAACAAACAAATATGGGATTGATTTCCAACAGTTATCCAACTGTCAATCATCCTGGGCAAGCCTGCCCCTGCCCCTCCTCCAGGGCGCTGCTGAGCCTCCCCATTGCAAAGCTGCCCTTTGTGTCTCTGTGCAGATGTGGGCTGGGCATGGCTAAGTTCCAGACAGAGTGGGGGTCGGGGAGGCTGCTGGGGAAAGACCAGGCAAGATAAGTGTGGGTTGGTGGTGTCTCCTGCAAAATTTCATTTCTTATGAAACAGTTGGTGCGTGTAAAATAGTTTGCTAAAGCTCAACAGTTGCTTCTTTTTTTGAGAAATGTGCTTTCCATGAAAATCGGGTTAGCACTTCAATTAAAATAAACTTACTTGAGAGCTGATGGAAATGGAAAATTTAGTTCACTGATGCTGGTGTTTAGGCCGTTGACATTTCCACGTTCATGAGGGAGGGGGTGCACAGAGGCCCCCGCCTCCACCCCAGGAGGAAGGGACCCTCTCTCTTCTCAACCCTAAAAAACTCCACTGGCCATCCCTTGTATAAGCTTCCTTATCTTTATTGCCTCTCTTTGCTGGACATGGCTTATCTCATCAAGCAGGCTGGGAAGTCTGCCTGGCAGGAATCCATTCCCCACACCCCACACCAGCATGTGGCTTCCAGACAGCAGACAGGACAGGCGTATGGACAGAGAAGGAGGGATGGAAGGGAGGCTCAAGACCCAGAATGGCAGATTAAAATGGTGTCTGAAGGAAGTTTCATTCATTCTTCAAGTGCTCAGAGGGGTCTGTGCTAATTTTGAAGGGTACAGGGATAGTGCTATGGGCTCCCTGGCAGGGTGGACATGGGGGCCCAACAAGGAAGCTGACATCTTTATTGTCATTGGTCAAGAAGGGTCCCTGCAGCATAAATATTGTGAGGAAGGAGGGATGTGTCTGCTCATAAACAGGCCGGGAGAGCTTCCCAAAGGATATTCGGTGCCGCTCCCTTGTCCAGTTTCACTACCTGCAGTTTCAGTTATCCAGTCAACCACAGTCTGAAGATAGTAATTGGAAAATTCCAGAAATGAACAATTCACAAGTTTGAAATTGCAACCTGTTCTGAGCAGCATGATAAAATCCTGCACTGTCCAGCTCCACCCTGCCCAGGACATGAATCACCCCCTTGTCCAGCACATCCACACCGAATATGAGACCCACTGTTAGTTGCTTAGTCGCCATCTTGGTTATCAGATCCACTGCCACGGTATCTAGTGCTTGTGTTCAAGTAACCCTTGTTTTACTTAATAAAGGCAAAGTGTTAAGAGTAGAGATACTAGCAATTTTATTATAATATGTGGTTTTTCTAATATTATTTATTGTTGTTAATTTCTTACTGTGCCAGAAAACCACAGTAAGTACAGGGTTTAGTACTACCATAGTTTCAGGAATCTACGGGGGTCTCAGAACGTATCTCCTTGGGATAATGGCAGACTATTGTATCTGAACTGGACCTTGGAGGATGAGAAAGGACTTTCCTAGAAACAGTGAGGGGAAGGTAAATATATACTACTTCCTGCCAGAAGCCATGTGAGGGGGTAGCAGGTGATGACCTAGAGGGGCAGCTGGTGTAGATGGGGAAGGGTGTCAGGACTTTGCCCTGCAGAAGAGAGCCACTGATTTTTCTCAGTTAATGGGGAAGTCACTGATGAGGGCCCACTAGGGGGAGGTGGATAGGGCACTGGGTGGAGGATGGACTGTGGCTGCAGAGAATGGGGCACCCATGTGGAGCTCAATGGCCCAGCATGGGTGAGAAGAGAAGAATGTCTGATCAGGGTGCAGAGAAAGGTTGGTCTTGGCAACTGGCCTTTGGTGGCATGGAAGGGAGGGAAAAGAGGGGCTGGAGAAGACTGTCTGAGTCCAGGTCCCTGGGTAGATGGTGACATCATCCACTAAAGCTGGGGCAAGGGAGATGCTGAGTTGGGCACAGTGAGTCCCAAGATGAGGACATCCAGCAGAAGTGACCAGCAGGCAATTACAGAGAATCAGTCACAGAAGAAGCAAGGTTGGAATTCGGGGTGGGAGAGTGTGGCTCTGGTGGCTCCTGGTGTTAGAATGTACCCCTCTCTTCCCCTTACCTTCTCCCCTTTCATCCCAGGAACACCAGAGGCTCCATCAGGTCCAGGCTGTCCCTCAGGACCCTGCAGAACATCAATGACAATCAGTCACCTTCCTGGAAAGGAGGGCAGGGTGGGGAGGTGGGTGAGGCCAGCGGGTCCAGGCCCTTATGCCAGGGTCAAGGCAAGAGTGCCAGTCCTGGTCCCAGCTGGGCTGCTGCTGGCTGTGCCACCTGGACCAGCATCCTTCCCTCTCTGGGTCACTCTCAGATTTCTTCTTCCTCTGCAGGGGTGGCAGGAGCAGGACTGGACCTGGACGTTCTCCAGGGCACCCACCCAGGCCCAGCTCTGGGGTCCTGTGGTTTTAAGATCTCACAGCTGTCTGTCCTCCTACACTGGCCATGACAGGGCAGGAAAATGGTCCATAAGATGATATTCCTGGGGCTACTTCCCCGGAGTCTCGGCGATGGCTTGGATATGGAGGATTTTGCTTGCAAACCTTAGCTGGCTGCTCTCTCCCCAGTCACAGACAATGTGACGTCTGCAATCTGTCGACCCTTCCCTGGTGAAGGGAAGCCCCGGGGCCACAGAAACAGGGACAGAACTTCAGACACTCACGGGGGGCCCGGGTTCACCAGCAGCTCCATCCTTTCCAGGGGAGCCAGGGGGTCCATTAAAAACATCAGTTCCTGGTTTTCCTGGAATCCCCGGCAAGCCCGGTGGACCTGGGGGACCTGGAGGACCCTAGAAAACAAGAAATTTTGTTAGAAATGGTGAAGGGAGGGTGAATATGTACTGAGCATATATGTTCACACATTCCCTTCATTCCTAAGAATGACCCTACATGGAGGGCTTGGTGTCCCCACAGCAGATGGGGACAGCCAGATCAGTGAGTCCAGGAGACTCACACACACAGCTAATCTGTAGAAGAATCGGGATTTGAATCCAGGGCTTTCCAAGCTCACTGAATCTCGTTTTCTCCTAAGTGCTTCATACAGTAGAGATCTAATTAGCTGGAACGCCCGGAGGAGCTCTGGTTAATTGAGTGTTCTTATTAACCAGGAGGTCTACACTGCCTGCTACTTGAAACTCCTGAAGTGGACCTCTTAGCCTCTTGCAGGTTGGCTGGTCCCACCACCTGGCAGGCCCCTGGAAGATCCGTTCGGCTCCTACTCGACTCATTCCCTAAGTCCAGAGCTCTTCCAGCCCTGGTCACGTGGTCCTGAGGAGTGGGCAGAGGGCCAGCTGAGTGCAGCTTCTAACTGGGGGTCCATGCGCAGGACTCAGGAGAAAGACTGGGGATGAGGTTGGGGCTGGGGAGGAGGCAACAGCTGCAGCTGGAGAAGGGAGGCGCTCCCCTGGGGGCCGTTTAAGAGAGACTGGTGGAGCCCAGCCTTGGGCAGGGGCCAGGGAGCACAGGCGCCAAGGAGGGAGAAAGGGCTGTCTGGAGAGCTAAAGGCAGGGGTGGGGGTGCCAAAGGGCAGGGAAGACTTCAAGAAAGGTCTGGAAGTCAAGGTGTGAAATGCCATCCAGACAGGGAGGAGGCCAGGGGACCTGTTTCTTGAACTAAGAGTGAGATGGGGGCAGGGGGATCAAAAGCCAACGGTGGAGGTGAAGGTCAGTGTGCAAACTTGCTGGGAGCAGCCTGCTGCAGAGGGCAGCCAGGGAAAGGAGGGGAGGGGGGAAGAGCAGGTTCTGAATATGAACTCAGGTCCAGACTTACTTCAAACCATATGAACCCGATCCAAGTGGAAAATGTCAAACACGTAGGAGAGGAAAAGAGTAAGGAGCCCCATGGACTCTGCCAACAGCCCTCAGCTTGGCCAGCCAGGTCCCTACTGCCCGTCCCTGCGCTCCTCCCTCCTGGTCCCAGGCACCAGACGGTGTCCCTTCACACTTACTCTTAACAGCTCCTCACTGCCCACGAGGTCCCCGGAGCCAGAACCGCCATCCAGGCCCCAGCCTAGGCCGGAGCCCTCAGCCTCCACTCTCACCTGAAGAGAGAAGAAATCCCCACAGCTTGGATTCAACGGTCTCCATGGACGCCGCACCTCTGAGAGCTTCCCCAGATTCTGCAGCTGTAGTCATTAAATGGGTGTGTACCAAGTCTGGGAGGCTCCAAGGAGGAGCCAGTTTGGGGTTGGAGCTGGGTGCAGGAAAGCCATGGTGGGGGGTGGGGGGGAGGAACTGGTGATGGAGGTGGGAGACCTGTTGGGAGCTGTGGGCCTCAACCTGGGGAGGAAGAAGTAGTGCATAGCTGCTCAGGGGACTTGGGGACAGCCTGGGTAGGGAGGAGGAGGAAGAGGACCCCTTGAGGATGTTTCCTGGTTTCTCTTTTGGTGACCAGATAAACAGGGCACCATTCTCGAGATGGGGAACCCAGGGGGAGAACAGGACTGGGGCAGGTGGGAGGAGCCCAGTTTGGGATGTGCTGAGTTGAGGGACCTCTGACCATTCAGGGCATGGGACATAAATGAATTCTGATGCTGAGCACACTGCAGGCTTCTGCCAGAGGCAGAGAGCCCTGAGGCCCGACTGGAAGGAACTCTAGGGGCTGTCAAGGAGACTCTCCAGCCTGTGGCAGTCCCTGCGCAGCGGGTGTGACAAGCTAGATGGGGAATCTCACGGTGGGCTCAGCAGCCCCAGAGGGTCCAGGAAGTCCACGAAGCCCCTCCCTGGCACCATCCAAAAGAGAACAAATGGTCAGCGAGGTGCCCCTCCAACCGACCCCTTCCTTTTGATAGAAACTGTGCTCGGTGTCAAGTTCTGATTACACAGAAGTGAAGATAGGCATCGATCTTCCCATGAGGACACCCTGACCCTCAGAGGTCAGGAGCCCTGTGTTCCTGTGCCACTGTGGTGGGAGGAAAGGTGCTGGGGGAAGAGCTGAGTGATGTGGACATGCCTGTGTACGTGCCCTGGTCACCCAGGATGTCCCAGTCCTGGTCTGGGCACCACCAGAGCCCCAGCATCCAGCCACCCCAGCCTCCCCAATCTCCAGACGCCTGTCCTGCCCACCTGCTGCTCCCAGCAGCTCCTGCCACCATCAGGGGTCTTTATTGTTCACAGGCTGCTTCCCTGGGCCCCTGGCCTCCTAGGGGATAGGCACAGTGCCGGAATTATCCCCAGGTCCCAGCTCCCCCACAGGGCTGGTGCTCAGGAAATACCTTTAGAATGACAGAAGCAACCATTTGGAAAGGAGGAGAAAGGAAAAGGAGAGAGTTGCATCCCAGGACACATGGGCTGCCAAAAAGCACCCGGAGAAGTGGCTGCCCTGCCAAATAAGGCACCAGAATGGCCGAGACCAGAAGAGGAGGGGTGGGAACACTGACAGGGAAAACCCCAAATATCAGTGCCGTGACACACCCCTCAGAGCCACCAGAGCTCTGCTGTCCTCTGAATCCACAGAGCCTCCCTTCCCCCACCTCAATGTGAGGATCTAGGGTTCAGGGCTACGGCACCATCTGCCTGGGGACCATCTCCATGCAGCCCAAGGGAGCTGAGCAGGGGCAGAAGGCCAGGGCCACGTGGAGACGGGAAGGGCCCCCAGAGGCAGCTGGATTACCGCCCACGGCCAGGCAGGCTCCCTGAGCAGGCCTCCTTGGGATCACAGGCCAGGGCCACTGTGCTGTAGCCCCTTGGAAAGACTTTCCCACAGGCAGCCATCTCAGTAGGAGGAACCTGTTATCTTTCTGTGGTGACCCACATAAGATAGCATTTCCATAAACATCAGCCACTTTATCTGGGCTAGGGTAAGCACCACGGCCCCCTTTTATAGTTGAAGAACTGATAAAGAACTACACTGAGATCCTGCAGCCCCTGAGATAAGCCCAGGACCATGATCCTCGGGGCTCTGATTTGCCCAACACTCTCCCAGGAGGAAAACCAGGGGCAGAGCTAGACATAGAACACCTGAATGGGAAGGATCCTTCCAGAATAGATGGGGAAATGGAGGCCCATGGAGGTTGAGGACTCAGACAAAGTCACCAGCTGGTAAGAAGAAACTGGCCAGAACTGTCCCCTGCCATTTTCATGATCCCCACACCCTTGATCAGAGCCTGTGAGTGTTCCAGAGCTGCCCAGCACAAACCTGCTCTCCTTTGGGCCCGGCCTGTCCTTTCACTCCCACATGTATCCGTTCAGCCTGAAACAAGAAAATTCGGTTAAAACTTGGTCATACTAGGGGCTGGGGATATAGCTAGGGGTAGAGCACTTGCCTAGCATGTGTGAGGCCCTGACGAAACCACCAAAAAAACAAAGAAAAGACAGAAACAGACAAAAAACCCAAAAAGCATGGTCATAATATCTTTGGGACATAAAGCTTCTGAGCTGTTGATACTCCTCGGCCCAGAGGCCAGTGCTGGGCTAGCGTTGGCAAGCCCATGGAGAGGCCACGGGCAGATCACAGCTCTAAGTTCCTATTGACAAGTGACTTCTAGGAAGATATTTGGAGTCACCCAGAGGTGACAGTCAGTCCCATGTTTTGCTAGTGTTCCACAATACAGATTTTCAGATATATTAGTTCATTTTAAAGGCAATGTTCTCCCTATGTTCTAGAAAAGATTCTAATATCTAATCAGTCCTTAGAAACAGGATGACTTGATTTCAACCACTGTGGCTCATGTCTCCAGATGGTGACTGTGGACAGTGCAAAAACATCAAGGCAGAGAGTCCGGAGACTGAGGCCTTGATTTGACCTCTACTTGACCGCTGGGAAATGTGTGACCTTGAGCAAAGCTCTAATCTTCTCTGGGCCTCATCTGCAAAATAATCCTCTACACATATTCACTCTATTAACCCTCATGACAAATCAAGAGGTTAGGTACTTCGATTATGACCCCGTGTGGTGCAAAGACAGGAAGAGGTGAAGAAACGGGCTGTACACATGTGGCAGACCTGGGCTGGCATGCTGCCTCTCACCCACTAAGCTACACTGCTTTGGTGACTCCGAAGAGTCAAAATCATCCTAAAAATGTTCTTGAGGAGGTGCCCTGCCGACCACCCTGACTGTGCCTTTTTTTTTAATCTTTATTTTTATGTTGTGCCAAGGATTGAACCCAGTGCTTCACACATGGAGGCAAGCGCTCTACCACTGAGCCCCAGGCCCAGCCCCCCTATTGTGCTTTTTAACTATCTGCTCAGAACCACTTCAATTTCCCACAGGCCCCTAACACAGGCTTGGAGTGGTGATCTGTCCTCATCGGCTGTGCGCTGGGATGACTTGCTGTGTGTTCATTTGTTTCTCCCTTTCTCTCCTCTCTCTCTCTCCCAGCTCCATTCCCTGCTTCTTAGAGCTTCCCCAAAAAACTGATTGTAAAAATCATAAGCCCCTATGGTGGAAAATTCCAAAACGTATCAAGGACCTAACAACCTCCCACAACTCTACCCCTTCAAGGCAAAAACTGAATATTTAGGGAGAGTATTTCCTTCCAGAGTATTTCCTTTTTAAAAAATGTTAATACTGTTTTAAATTTTTAAAGATATTTTTTGTTCTGTTTAGTTGTACATGACAGTAGAATGTATTTGGATATATACATAAATGGAGTACAAATTCCCATTCTTGTGGTTGTACATGATGAGGAGTTACACTGGTTGTGTATCCATATATGAACACAGGAAAGTTGTATCTGATTCATTCTACTGGCTTTCCCATTCTCATCCCCCCTCCATTCCCCTGACTCTGCCCTGTCCTGTTTGGTGATCCTCCCCTCCTCCCTCTTCTACTCCCACCTATTATGAGTTAGCATCTGCATATCAGAGAGAACATATAGCCTTTGGTTTTTTAGGATTGGCTTATTTCCCTTAACATAGTAATCTCTAGTTTTACCCATTTACCAGCAAATACCATAATTTCATTCTTCCTTATGGCTGATGTAATTTCTGTTATGTATATATACCACATTTTCTTTATCCATTCATCTGTTGAAGGGCACCTAAGTTGGTTCCATAGCTTGGATATTGTGAATTAAGCTGCTATAAATGTTGATGTGGCTGCATCACTATAATATGCTGATTTTAAGTCCTTTGGGTATATGCCAAGGAGTGGGATAAGTGAGTCAAATGGTGGTTCCATTCCAAGTTTTCTAGTCTTCCAGGGTTTACATGTGAATATTTTTAAATCATTAAGGCCACATAATATAACCAAGTTTATAACCAGCTTCTTTCACTTCACATGTTTCCCCATTATTAAATATTAATAAGAGTAATAACTAATAACTGTATAATGTTCCATTATTTGAATATAGTTTAATTCCATCTCCTGTTGTTGGCTAATTAAATCATGCCTCAATTTTCTCTACCACAAACAAAACTGAGATCAACACCCTTGTGAACAAAGCCTCTTCACACATCAGACTATCTCCATTAGAATGGATTCCTGAGACAGAAGTTTCTGGTTGTGGTTTCATGGTGGTTAGTTTACAGTTGTTAATATGCAGTTTCATGGTCATTAACAGACGTGGACAAGGCTTCCAAGAAGCAGTAAATCCTCAACACTGCCAACAGCTTGGCCGGCCTCTCCAGGCCACTTTCCCAAAGTAGAAAACACAAGGATTTAGGACAACCAACCCAGTTTCTTCAAGAAATCAGCAGCAAAAAGAATGTAAGAGACAATCAGAGAATAAAAGACTCCTGGGACACTTGTTAACCCCATGTGATGGTTAGCCCTTGCGGGGGGGAAAAAGGCATTTAAAAAATAATCAGGGTGTTAGTTAATATGAAGGGATCACTGTTGACTGGTTAATAGATGACGACACTGTGGGTATGACAATACAAAACAGAAAGGCCCAGATCAATCTCTTAGCAATGTGCACGAATTATTTACAAGTTAAATGATATGATGTTTGGAATTTTAAACAAATACTCTAGCCCTCCCCTCCCCTGCAAAAAGATGATGGTAGTGGGTAGAACAGATGAGGCAAGATTGGCAACGGTCAGTGACTGCTCGAGCTGAAGGATGGCCACGCGGGGGTGAATTAGACCATTCTAAGCCCCTTTGTGAATTTTTTAGATTTTTCAAAAATAAAAAGCATCATAGCCCAACTTGCTCCCAGGGTTGGGTCACCTGAGTTCATCCCCTGGGGTCCTGGACCCCAACTCTGTGGTGCTAGAGGCTGCCTGGGTGTGCATGGGGCACAGCTGGATTAAACCTAGGGTCCCTTCTCCCCTCCTTCCCTTATTAGTGATGACGAGGAGGCCTGGGCCTCTAGGAGTCAGGGGCATCCCTCAGGATGGAACCTCGCTCCTGGCTCCCCACTGAGGGTCTCATGAATGAGAACACAGGGGGCTGAAGCTCAGGAGCAGGGACTGTGCAGGCAGCAGGCCTGGGGCTAACGCCAGCACTTCTCCTCGAGGCCGCCACAGTGGCAGGTGTCTTTACCTCCCAAGAGCCTCCTCCTTCGTGTAGAATGGAGACCACTCACCTGACACCAAGACTGTGGGGTAAATAGGACCAGGGAATGCTGGCACAGGGTGCTCCATCCGCCCCTTCAGACAGCTCAGTTCCTGCCCCCTGACTGTGAATTCCTCAGGGACGGAAAGAAGGTCACATTCTTCTCTGTCTCCAAATGACTGGACTGAGGGCCCCGAGATGCCATGTGTCCAGGCTGAGTCATGACTACAGGAGGGTCACTGTGACTACAGGGTCGGGAAGCAGGGTAGTGAGCACCAGGCCACTGGAAGAGACCCTTGGCCACGGGGGATTCTGGACTCCCAGCGGCCTCTCTTGACCTTCTTTCCACAGCCCCTCGGCTTCTGGGTCAGCTGTGGCTGAACGTTGAGTCAAGGGTCACTTAGGGAACTGAGGTGCCTAAGGTGGTCACCAACCAGGGAGGGGGGTCCTCTAAAGATATATTCACTTTTGAACAGTGATTTCACTCCCTGCTCCCCATGCCCTCCAAATGAGGCCCAGCTGTGGGCTTCCTATTTCTAAAAGATGAAGCTACAGCCCTTGACTGGGGACAACCTCACGTGTGGGTACAGAGTGTCCCTCACAGCTACCCTCTTCACAGACGGGAAACAGTCTCAGAGAAATGGAAGGATTTGCTTCAGGTCACACGGGAGCAGTCCAGAATCCTAGAAACTTGTGCTGGAAGGGACTCAAGGGTCCCACACTGAGCATGCTTCTGTCCCCTCCACAGTCCCCAAGTCACACAGTGTGTGTGTCTTCCCACAGTGCCTGTTAAAAAGGTCTCATTTCAACTAAAAAGGGCAGCTGGGACCGAGGCTAGGTCCCCTCAATATTTACTTCTTGCTTTTTCCCCCCCAGGTTCAAGGCCCTCAAATACACAATGAGATGAGAAATGAGAACCCGACTCTGAAAAGGACAGGGGCCGCCCCTGCTCTTCCCTGCCAGAGCTGCCAGCCACATCGTCACACCTCCCAGCCACTTACCGGAGGAGTGACTTGTCTCTCAGGAGCTGCGGTGGGGACAGGGAGTGGTGGCCCGTCAGGGGGAGCACTGCTGGGTCCCTCGCCTCCAGCCGTGGCAGGGGGCTCCTCCGTGGAGGTTGCTGCCCAGTGGTCATCACCAGGTGCCTGGAAAGGAAACCCACCCGTGGAGTGACGCTGCCCCGACCACATGGCTGTGGGCATTGTGGTCACAGCCATTTCTGTGGTGCTAGCTCCATTTCAAGGCACTTTCTCACCTACAACCTCCATTAACCACCCCCCACCCCTGGGGCACATTCTCAGAAGCAGCAGTTCACAGGCCCTTCAGGGATCTGTCTCCCTTGGGGCTAGGCTAGGAGGCTAAGTCCCCTTTCTACCTCTGACCACTTGTCTCTGAGACAGTCTTTTGGGGCCAAAGCCAGGAGGCAGCAGATTGGGACAATGTCTAACCTCTCTGTCATGCTCCTGTCATTGCACCCCACCCCCACCCAGGTGGCATCTCCCCAGACCCTTCATAATGAAGCTGAATGTGCCTCTGCAGAGGCCACTAACTACCCCAACCTAGGATGCTGACTTCTCTCTTTCCCAAGCCACAGAGGACACTTCTAGAAGACACTTACAGGAGTGACCACTTGCCCAGGGGCCGCAGTGGGTGCAAGGGTAGCCAGGCCATCTGTGGGGACCCCACTGGCTTCTTCTTCCTCGAAAGTGACAAGGGGCACTTCTGAAGCAGCTGCGGCTGTGGTTAAATGTTCT